CGTCTACGCTCTGGGGCTGCTGTACTGGGAGAGCTTCAGACGCTGCTCCCAGCTGTTCACAGGTACACACACACACACACACACTTCCTGTTTGATGGCCACTAATTTGTTTTGTTCTGCAGTATTTGTACCTGACATGTGTTTACAGTACTCACTAGAGATGTAACGATATATCGAATATCACGGTAAATAAAAGTCTCAATACCGTCGTGAGGCTGACAAAACCTTTATTGAACCAGATGGTCCCGTTGAGATCATGGATCTCTTTTTCAAGGGAGACCTGTCCAACATGGCAGCAAGTAGGTTACAACATGAACATGAAACAACAGATAACACAAAAGGACATGGTATTTACAGGGCTACATGTACACACCTAGAGACATTGACAAGTACCAACAGTATATTTATATCTGTCAATAAGCCTCACCTTCTTGGCAAACACTGTATTGTTTTTGAAGTGGTGGAGAGACAATGCACAGTTTGACCCACTGCTGTCACCCATGGCCAAAGCATGTCTCTCTGTCCCAGCAACATCAGTACCAAGCAAGAGAGTTGTTTCCACAGCAGGGGATTTTGCAAACGCCCAAACATCCCAGCTTCTACCTGGAAATGTGGCCATGCTCATATTCAGTGGTGACTGGTCGTTAGGGGACACAGCCCCACCTAGTGTCAGCAGAAAGTATTAAAAATAATTATTACAACAAAATGCAAAAATAAATTAAAATATAAAATATATTTGAAGATCATGTTTAACACTAGAACCGCCAACGGGTACATTTTACCCGTAGCAGTTTTTTGATTGTATGTAACTTTTTTTCAATAACATATTAAAGTCTCCCAGTCCGTGACTTTTCTTGAAAGTGTGTTATGTAGCACCCTCTGTTGTTAACAATTGTCAATATGAAGTCAGATTGAAAAAATCGCCAAAAAAAAAGCCATTTATACCTATATCCGCCAGCGGGTAATATTTACCTCATAGAAAATGCAGCGTAAACATGACGTGTTGCTATAGCAACATCTTTTGTCTACTGCGGTTCCTTATAGATAGAGAGATAGATAGATTGATAGATATATTGATAGATGGATAGAGAGATAGACAGACAGATAGATAGTGTAACATATTGGAGAATACAAGATCTTGGATGACTGAGCTCACGTTGAGGACGTAATGCATGCAGGTTACGTGCCAGTTGAATAAAGATGGACACTCGGAATGAGAGAAGTAGTCCGCGTCGTCTGTTTATGTAGACAATTATATGTCCATAGAACAGAACATTACAGATGGATCGATAGATAGTTATAGATAGATAGAGAGATTTGTACCTAAACAAAACACAAGTCTAACACCAAGCGTTTAAATCAGCACTCTTAGCGATATTTTATACTTCATGTTATCTGCACAAACTATGTCATATGAAAAGCTGAGAGTCCACAGATTCTATTGGTATAAATCTCATCCCTGTGCGATCAAAACACACTGTTCTGTATGATAAATAAAAGAACATTGTACCTTGAAAATCAATAGCGGGTACATTTTACCCGTTGGCGGTTTTAGGTATACAGCGACCTCTGGCGGTTCTAGTGTTAATCATCTGATTCGTCTCATTGCTGTTTTAGTCTGTGTTCTTCTAATTAGTGTCTACAGTGTGTGCCTATTGAGCTGTTTAGAGCCATGTGGGACAAAACCCGATCCTGCCCCTCCCTCTCACTGTCTAAGTGAACGGTGACTGTAAAAACTACACTGCGCATGCTCAGAGTATTTTCCTATTTAATGTGTGTGGCAAAAAATAATGACCATAGGGGCATAGAGCCGCCATCCCCACCATACGTCATCTCACATCATTCAGAGCTGATTGGCTGTAAGTACGTGTGCCGCGAAAAGTGTGGTGTGTGAAGAGGAGACGAGAGAGCTGCAGTGACGCATCCTAAAACCAGGAAGTAAGCTGCGCATGGATTCCCTCCACAAAAAAGCAATGAGATTTCTCCATAGGATTTGAGAAAATAGCTCCATAAGATCTGTGGGAAACATAGCTGTTAAATAAACGCACGTTGTGTTCAGCCGGATAATATCCACATGTCTACCCTACTTTTATCATTTTCGAATCATAAATCTATCGATTAGTGTCATGATAGACTTTTGAAACTACAAGAAGATAAGGAGGACTTTTACAAAAAAGTAATAGAGATGTTTGTCCAGAAGGATAGGCAAATGGACTTCATCTTCAAGTCAAGGAAAGACTGCAATTTTATTGAAAATGGGATCTTACTAAGAGAGAACAATTCAATATTTAAATGATAAAATTACATTTTTAGGGTATCTTTCTGTTGTTTAAAATTAATCGAAGCATCAGACAAAAAAAGCTTTTGAAAATAATATTATATTTTGATTTAGGTCAAAATATAATATTTGTAAACCTGAAGAGTCAGAGCCTCACCAGCCATGAACCTCACTGCAGAAGCTTATATATAGACATCTAAGTTGTTTGTGCCCCACCACTTTTGTACATATAAAAACGCCACTGCTCATATTCCTGAAAGATAACCTAATGACGCTGAGTGAGAGAGTTAGAGTCGAGTTACTTGAAAAACTAAAGTGAAACTTGAGTTATTCTATTGCAGGGTCTGATTATTATATTGTTGACACTTTAAAACACTACTATCCTATAAAATGGTGTACAAATCAGATTTATTATATAATAAACAAAAAAAAAAGTCTTCTTTATTTTTCAATATCGCGATAAATGTCGTACTGTGAGTTTTTGGTATTGTTACATCCCTAGTACTCACACTGCAGTATTTGTACCTGTCCAGGTGAAGCAGTACTCACACTGCAGTATGTGTACCTGTCCAGGTGAAGCAGTACTCACACTGCAGTATTTGTACCTGTCCAGGTGAAGCAGTACTCACACTGCAGTATTTGTACCTGTCCAGGTGAAGCAGTACTCACACTTTAGTATTTGTACCTGTCCAGGTGAAGCAGTACCCACACTGCAGTATGTGTACCTGTCCAGGTGAAGCAGTACTCACACTGCAGTATGTGTACCTGTCCAGGTGAAGCAGTACTCACACTGCAGTATTTGTACCTGTCCAGGTGAAGCAGTACTCACACTGCAGTATTTGTACCTGTCCAGGTGAAGCAGTACTCACACTGCAGTATGTGTACCTGTCCAGGTGAAGCAGTACTCACATTGCAGTATGTGTACCTGTCCAGGTGAAGCAGTACTCACACTGCAGTATGTGTACCTGTCCAGGTGAAGCAGTACTCACATTGCAGTATGTGTACCTGTCCAGGTGAAGCAGTACTCACACTGCAGTATGTGTACCTGTCCAGGTGAAGCAGTACTCACATTGCAGTATTTGTACCTGTCCAGGTGAAGCAGTACTCACATTGCAGTATGTGTACCTGTCCAGGTGAAGCAGTACTCACACTGCAGTATTTGTACCTGTCCAGGTGAAGCAGTACTCACACTGCAGTATTTGTACCTGTCCAGGTGAAGCAGTACTCACACTGCAGTATGTGTACCTGTCCAGGTGAAGCAGTACTCACACTGCAGTATGTGTACCTGTCCAGGTGAAGCAGTACTCACACTGCAGTATTTGTACCTGTCCAGGTGAACCAGTACTCACATTGCAGTATGTGTACCTGTCCAGGTGAAGCAGTACTCACACTGCAGTATTTGTACCTGTCCAGGTGAAGCAGTACTCACACTGCAGTATGTGTACCTGTCCAGGTGAAGCAGTACTCACACTGCAGTATGTGTACCTGTCCAGGTGAAGCAGTACTCACACTGCAGTATGTGTACCTGTCCAGGTGAAGCAGTACGCACACTGCAGTATGTGTACCTGTCCAGGTGAAGCAGTACTCACACTGCAGTATGTGTACCTGTCCAGGTGAAGCAGTACTCACACTGCAGTATGTGTACCTGTCCAGGTGAAGCAGTACTCACATTGCAGTATGTGTACCTGTCCAGGTGAAGCAGTACTCACATTGCAGTATGTGTACCTGTCCAGGTGAAGCAGTACTCACACTGCAGTATGTGTACCTGTCCAGGTGAAGCAGTACTCACACTGCAGTATGTGTACCTGTCCAGGTGAAGCAGTACTCACACTGCAGTATGTGTACCTGTCCAGGTGAAGCAGTACTCACACTGCAGTATTTGTACCTGTCCAGGTGAAGCAGTACTCACACTGCAGTATTTGTACCTGTCCAGGTGAAGCAGTACTCACACTGCAGTATTTGTACCTGTCCAGGTGAAGCAGTACTCACACTGCAGTATGTGTACCTGTCCAGGTGAAGCAGTACTCACACTGCAGTATTTGTACCTGTCCAGGTGAAGCAGTACTCACACTGCAGTATGTGTACCTGTCCAGGTGAAGCAGTACTCACACTGCAGTATGTGTACCTGTCCAGGTGAAGCAGTACTCACACTGCAGTATTTGTACCTGTCCAGGTGAAGCAGTACTCACATTGCAGTATGTGTACCTGTCCAGGTGAAGCAGTACTCACACTGCAGTATGTGTACCTGTCCAGGTGAAGCAGTACTCACACTGCAGTATGTGTACCTGTCCAGGTGAAGCAGTACTCACACTGCAGTATGTGTACCTGTCCAGGTGAAGCAGTACTCACACTGCAGTATGTGTACCTGTCCAGGTGAAGCAGTACTCACACTGCAGTATTTGTACCTGTCCAGGTGAAGCAGTACTCACACTGCAGTATGTGTACCTGTCCAGGTGAAGCAGTACTCACACTGCAGTATGTGTACCTGTCCAGGTGAAGCAGTACTCACACTGCAGTATGTGTACCTGTCCAGGTGAAGCAGTACTCACACTGCAGTATGTGTACCTGTCCAGGTGAAGCAGTACTCACACTGCAGTATGTGTACCTGTCCAGGTGAAGCAGTACTCACACTGCAGTATGTGTACCTGTCCAGGTGAAGCAGTACTCACACTGCAGTATGTGTACCTGTCCAGGTGAAGCAGTACTCACACTGCAGTATGTGTACCTGTCCAGGTGAAGCAGTACTCACACTGCAGTATGTGTACCTGTCCAGGTGAAGCAGTACTCACACTGCAGTATGTGTACCTGTCCAGGTGAAGCAGTACTCACACTGCAGTATGTGTACCTGTCCAGGTGAAGCAGTACTCACACTGCAGTATGTGTACCTGTCCAGGTGAAGCAGTACTCACACTGCAGTATGTGTACCTGTCCAGGTGAAGCAGTACTCACACTGCAGTATGTGTACCTGTCCAGGTGAAGCAGTACTCACACTGCAGTATGTGTACCTGTCCAGGTGAAGCAGTACTCACACTGCAGTATGTGTACCTGTCCAGGTGAAGCAGTACTCACACTGCAGTATGTGTACCTGTCCAGGTGAAGCAGTACTCACACTGCAGTATGTGTACCTGTCCAGGTGAAGCAGTACTCACACTGCAGTATTTGTACCTGTCCAGGTGAAGCAGTACTCACACTGCAGTATTTGTACCTGTCCAGGTGAAGCAGTACTCACACTGCAGTATTTGTACCTGTCCAGGTGAAGCAGTACTCACACTGCAGTATTTGTACCTGTCCAGGTGAAGCAGTACTCACACTGCAGTATGTGTACCTGTCCAGGTGAAGCAGTACTCACACTGCAGTATGTGTACCTGTCCAGGTGAAGCAGTACCTGAGCACCAGCTGGCGTTCCAGGCGGAGCTCGGGAACCATCCGAGCTTCCAGGAGATGCAGATCCTCGTCAACAGAAACAAGTTCAGACCCAGATTCCCTGAGAGCTGGAGGAGCAGCAGCCCGGTGAGGGTCTGAGGATCTCTATGCAGTACTACTGCAGTACTCATGTTCTAGTACTGTAGATATACTGTGTGTGTGTAGTACTGATAGTAGTACCTGTAGTAACCCTGTGTGTGTGTGTGTAGTATTGTTTGTGTGTGTAGTATTGTGTGTGCGTGTAGTACTGATAGTAGTACTGATAGTAGCCCTGTGTGTGTGTAGTATTGTGTGTGTGTAGTATTGTGTGTGTGTGTGTAGTACTGATAGTAGTACTGATAGTAGCCCTGTGTGTGTGTAGTATTGTGTGTGTGTAGTACTGATAGTAGTACTGATAGTAGCCCTGTGTGTGTGTAGTATTGTGTGTGTGTAGTACTGATAGTAGTACTGATAGTAGCCCTGTGTGTGTGTAGTATTGTGTGTGTGTAGTACTGATAGAAGTCCTGATAGTAGCCCTGTGTGTGTGTAGTATTGTGTGTGTGTAGTACTGATAGTAACCCTGTGTGTGTGTGTGTGTGTGTGTAGTATTGTGTGTGTGTAGTGATAGTAGTACTGATAGTAGCCCTGTGTGTGTGTAGTATTGTGTGTGTGTAGTACTGATAGTAGTACTGATAGTAGCCCTGTGTGTGTGTAGTACTGATAGAAGTCCTGATAGTAGCCCTGTGTGTGTGTAGTATTGTGTGTGTGTAGTACTGATAGAAGTCCTGATAGTAGCCCTGTGTGTGTGTAGTATTGTGTGTGTGTAGTACTGATAGTAGCCCTGTGTGTGTGTAGTATTGTGTGTGTGTAGTACTGATAGAAGTCCTGATAGTAGCCCTGTGTGTGTGTAGTATTGTGTGTGTGTAGTACTGATAGTAACCCTGTGTGTGTGTGTGTGTGTGTGTAGTGATAGTAGTACTGATAGTAGCCCTGTGTGTTCAGGCGCTGTCCTCCCTGATGGAGACGATGGAGGACTGCTGGGATCCAGACGCTGAGGCTCGACTCACTGCTCAGTGTGCAGAGGAGAGACTGTGTGACCTCACACTGCACAGCCACAGGTACACACACACACACATACACACACACACACTGCTGCACAGCCACAGGTACACACACACACACACACACACACACACACACACACACACACACACTGCTGCACAACCACATGTGTACACACACACACAGCTGCACAACCACAGGTACACACACACACACTGCTGCACAACCACATGTGTACACACACACACACACACACACAGCTGCACAACCACAGGTACACACACACACTGCTGCACAGCCACAGGTACACACACACAGCTGCACAGCCACAGGTACACACACACACACACTGCTGCACAGCCACAGGTACACACACACTGCTGCACAACCACATGTGTACACACACACACAGCTGCACAACCACAGGTACACACACACACATTGCTGCACAACCACATGTGTACACACACACACACACACACACACACAGCTGCACAACCACAGGTACACACACACACACTGCTGCACAGCCACAGGTACACACCCACACACACAGTGCAGTGTATTCAGTGTTCTGGTTCCTCAGGATTGGTCCTCCTCCCGTTGGTCCCGCCTCCTCCCAGGATCTGGGCGTGGTTAAAAATCTCCATGGAGACGACTTTGCATCATCTGTCGTCAAAACAACCACGAGTGGAGCAGAGGCATCCGGAAGAAACTCCATCACACACACCGGTGAACACACACACACACACACACACACACACACACACACACACACACACACACACACACACACACACACACACACACACACACACACACCTACCTTGTCCCCCCACAACAAGCCAATGGGATTTCTCCATGCTATATAGGTTTATATTGTATTATATTGTTTATAATTGTAAATGTAAATTGTAAATCTGTAACCCTGTAAGGCAGGGCTATTCAATTACACATTCAGTTGGGCCAGATTTTATAACTACAAAATTCAGCTGGGCCAGACATTCAGCGGCCTGTGAAAAGCGGTTAATGACTGTAAGGGAAACTTCTGCAGCAATGGAGAGTCAGGACTCAGAGAGACACGAGGAGAGTTGGAGCTTTGATGTCAAACAATGATGTTTATTACAAGTCAACGGCCGGAGAATTCACATCACAAGTCACAGCAGCAAGAGGTTCTGACTGCACGGGTGGGTTGCCATGTCAATTCTGATCAGCCTCGCATCTTGGTAGACCTTTTAACTAGTTTACAGAGAGTCAAATCCACATATTGGGGATGGGCGTAAACATCTGCAGACACAGGAGATGTCTCTCACATCTGTGGAGCTTAGAAAGCCAGCGTTCTCACACTCGCAAAACCCCCCTATGTCCGCTAGGTCAAGCCATAAAACTTATAGTATCAACATACGACTGCATTATCACATTCCTTACGGAAGATAAGGAGCAGGGCTGATCGTAAATGTCAACACACAGAAAATGTTTAAATATTTAGGAGTAAAGACAGAATTATTCTTATTAGAAGTCAAATATTCAGGTTATTTTTTCTTTAACCGGGCACATCACAAAGTGCATACAAGTCTTAATAAATGTCCTCACTTACAAAATAAAATTGGATACATATGACACATGCACATCAAAAAGTGCATTAACAAACAGCTAAAGAGCTCCAATGTAACACAAAGAGGTAGAACTCTAGCAATAGGCCTACTGTTTTTTCACTTTTCATGTAAAAACAAAAATCACATTGTTTTGATCACATTTGACCCAGACACATTACAAAGTGCATTTAAAAGAATTAATACAAATTTGTTGTGTTTTTATGCACTTTTTGACGTACCTTTGTTAGATGAACAATGAATACAAATTGCATGTTTTTCATCGCAGTAATATGTTTTGGTTTAAAATGTGTCATTTACAGAATAATTCTGTCTTTACTCCTAAATATTTAAACATGTTCTGTGTGTTGACATTTACGATCAGCAGTGATTTTTGGCTCATATGATGTCAATGCAATCCTAAGACATTGAAGAGTGCCGTCAGTCAGGGAGCAGCGAGTGCTACTTTTGATTGAGTTCATGTGTGAAAAGCTTGATTCACATTTGAATGTTGATCCAAACATACTGAGCACACAGATCGCTACTTTCTGAACGTTAGGGAACTGCTGTTTTTTGACATCACTCCAAAACTTCGCGCTGCTCTTGTGCCATGGTTACGGAGGAATGCATAAGTTCCAGGGTAAATGTCCCCTCGTCGGTGGAGGGGACCACTTCCTTTGCTCTGGTGGATACGTCCCCCTCTATTGCAACAGTGAAGGGGTCTCTGGCAAAGCCCATCACCTCTGTGGGCAGAGCAAGTCCATCCAATCGACAGGCAAAAGTTCTCTTTCAACCTCGCAATGAAATCTGTCATCACATCCGTGATTTGTGCCGGGGATGTGATGTGTTTGAGGAGCGTCGGAAAATGCAGCATCCGACCCGTACTCAAGTCGGTCGTGAAAAGGTCCAGCTTGACTTGGAATGCGCGCATCTGCTCCACAAGATGAATGACCGTTTTGTCTCTGTTTACGCTTCAGAGTTGAGAGGGACATGTTTTGGAGTTGCCATCATAGGTCCACCGTTACTAGCACCACTAGATGCACTTTCAAAAAACGTGTTGCGTTGTGGTTTGGTGGTTTCTATGCAACACGGAGTGTTGCGTTCATGGTCTGTACTAGTGTAGGAATTTGGCCACGGGAGGCTGGGCCACTCAGGAGTTGGTTCTGGGCCGCATCTGGCCCGCGGGCCGCCATTTGAATAGGCCTGCTGTAAGGTCTCCTTGGGTGTTATGAAAGGCGCCCCCCAAAATAAATGTATTATTATTATTATTATATATACTGATGTATTTCATGTTGTTATCTAATTAAAACACTGAAGATAAAGTCACCCTGTTCTGACCTGTACGTCCCCCTGCTGTCCTCCTGCTGTCCTCTTGCTGTCCCCCTGCTGTCCTCCTGCTGTCCTCTTGCTGTCCCCCTGCTGTCCTCCTGCTGTCCTCTTGCTGTCCCCCTGCTGTCCTCTTGCTGTCCCCCTGCTGTCCTCTTGCTGTCCCCCTGCTGTCCTCTTGCTGTCCCCCTGCTGTCCCTGCTGTCCCCTTGCTGTCCTCTTGCTGTCCCCCTGCTGTCCCCCTGCTGTCCTCTTGCTGTCCTCCTGCTGTCCCCCTGCTGTCCTCCTGCTGTCCCCCTGCTGTCCTCCTGCTGTCCCTGCTGTCCCCCTGCTGTCCTCCTGCTGTCCATGTCCTCCAGGTGGTGCTGTGCCCAGAGTCTGCCTGCAGCGCACACAAGAAGACCTGGACACCAGCAAGCTGGACCCTGAACAGGTGATCCTCTGTCCTCTATCGTCTGTCCTCTGTTCTCTGTCCTCCCCCTCTGAACAGGTGATCCTCTGTCCTCCCCCCGTGCCACACCACACTAACCTCCCGTCTCTACAGGTGGATCAGAACCTGAACCTGAGTTTTGATGCGAGGGTGATGGAGGACCACCATCCTGCCGAGCTGCTGAACTATCAAGTCCTGCAGAGTCTGGCTCTTCAGGGGGAACTGGGAGCTGCTGGATCCTCCTCCTTGCACCCCCTCCCCAAACAGCAGAACCTGCCCCAGAGACCCACCAGCCTCCACCTGCAGAACCCAGACCCAGCGTCCTGCCGCCTGAAGCTGGGGAGGCACCGGTCCAACCTCAAACAGGTACAGCAGAGGGGGGACCCAGTCCAACCTCAGACAGGTACAGCAGGGGGGACCCGGTCCAACCTCACACAGGTACAGCAGGGGGGACCCGGTCCAACCTCAGACAGGTACAGCAGGGGGGACCCGGTCCAACCTCACACAGGTACAGCAGGGGGGACCCCGGTCCAACCTCACACAGGTACAGCAGGGGGGACCCGGTCCAACCTCAGACAGGTACAGCAGGGGGGACCCGGTTCAACCTCAAACAGGTACAGCAGGGGGGACCCGGTCCAACCTCAAACAGATACAGCAGGGGGGACCCGGTCCAACCTCAAACAGGTACAGCAGGGGGGACCCGGTCCAACCTCAGACAGGTACAGGTACAGCAGGGGGGACCCGTTCCAACCACAGACAGGTACAGCAGGGGGGACCCGTTCCAACTTCAGACAGGTACAGGTACAGCAGGGGGGACCCGTTCCAACCACAGACAGGTACAGCAGGGGGGACCCATTCCAACTTCAGACAGGTACAGGTACAGCAGGGGGGACCCGTTCCAAGTACAGCAGGGGGGACCCGGTCCAACCTCAGACAGGTACAGCAGGGGGGGACCCGGTCATCTTACATGGTCTGTGGGAGGGGTAGAAACCTGTGAGGGTGGGGTCTGATCCGTCGCTGGTTTTAGAGGCGGTCTTTCCGTCTACTAGATTGAAAGATTCAAAGGCTTTATCTCCCACCGAAGACTGGACGAAGGGGGGTCCTTGGGAGTTCCTGGTTTGAGGGTTTACAGCTCCTGGTCCTTTCTTTATCCTTGAGGAGTCCCTCTCTCTGACCCTTATGACCCTCATGTTGTTATCGGACAGGCCTTCAGGTGGAACTGATCCACCTTTATTGATTCAGAATCCCAGTCAGAATGCCCCTAACCCACAGACGGGACATTCACATCTTCTCAGCAACGGATAGAGGTGCTTGCCACACGAGGACGATAACGGACCACAATCGTTATTAAAAAAGTCTTCCGTCCACAAGCAACAGGCACCAGAAACGTGACCGCTCGAAAGCGCTGGAGACGCTGTAGTACATATGCCAGGCCTGTAAGTGGCGCTGTAGTCTACCACAAAAGCAGCGAAGAAGACTTCCCGCGCATGGTTGCCATGGTTGCCCTTCTGTTTATTCTCCGCTCTGACTCTTTTTCTCCCTCCCCGAGGCAAGCGTTTGCTCCCACAGCTGTAATTCAATGCAATCCCTCCCTCGCTGTAATTCTCTCCGGTACTCCACCAGCAGATGACAAACACCCACCTCTCCGCCTCTTCCAAGGAACGGGACCGTGCGGCAGAGTTTCCGGTCAACATGTCCGTTAAAGTTGAAATCTTCCGGACAAAATTAGAAAGGTGCCGGTCAAAGGTTTATTTATTGAGCTTCAAAACAAATTGATAACAGCTCTATATAATAATATAAGAATAAAAAACGAAGCCTCTCTTTTCCTCCCCCTCTTCTGACAGCCCAGCAGCTGATCTCTGAGCAGGAGAGGTGGGAGAGGCGGGGCTATTGCGTCATCGTTATCAGGAAATGATCGTATAGGCGTAGACACAGAGCCGTTTGCCCCCTCAGAGCATTTCGTTTGCAGATCACCTTGGGACCCGTTATCGTTATCGTTTTCTGCGTTTCCGTGTCGGCCTCGTGTGGCCGAACCGTCTATCTGATAGAGAACTGTAGCAGATACCACCGTTATCGTCCTCGTGTGGCTGCAGCCAGAGACAAAAGTCAAACATGAGTAAATAAAGGCACGTAATATTAAAATAAAGAAATACACAATTCGAATTACAGAAGTATATGAGTTATTTACAGAGTGATGTTACAGTCCTGATCCTGATCCTCAAGTGAGTCTCTGAGGTGAGTCCTGATCCTGAACCTCAGGTAAACTTCTGTGTTTCAGGTGGAGACCGGCATCGCTAAGATGAACACGGTAACGGTCGCCACGGCTACAGAGCCCCACCAGGTAACCACGGTGACAAAGACCAGCGTCACCCACGGTTATAGTGCAGGGGTTCCCGTCCTGGTGGTAAACTCTCTGATGCTGATGGAGGACGAGGAGAACCGGACCAACCTGCTGAACCCGAGTCTTGATGAACACGCCCCCCTGCTGAGGAGGGACCCAGACCTGCATCAGGCCTCAGAGACCAGATCTAACGTCAACAACAACAACAACAACAACAGGATCCAGCCTCAGGGTCTTAGACCTGAACCCCATCTGGAGAGTCAGTCCTCCTCTAAACCTGAACCCCATCTGGAGAGTCAGTCCTCCTCTAAATCTGAACCCCATCTGGAGAGTCAGTCCTACTCTAAACCTGAACCACATCCGGAGAGCCAGTCCTCCTCTAAACCTGAACCACATCCGGAGAGTCAGTCCTCCTTTAAACCTCATCTGGAGAGTCAGTCCTCCTCTAAACCTGAACCCCATCTGGAGAGTCAGTCCTCCTCTAAACCTGAACCACATCCGGAGAGCCAGTCCTCCTCTAAACCTGAACCACATCCGGAGAGTCAGTCCTCCTTTAAACCTCATCTGGAGAGTCAGTCCTCCTCTAAACCTGAACCCCATCTGGAGAGTCAGTCCTCCTCTAAACCTGAACCACATCCGGAGAGCCAGTCCTCCTCTAAACCTGAACCCCATCTGGATAGTCAGTCCTCCTCTAAACCTGAACCCCATCTAGAGAGTCAGTCCTCCTTTAAACCTGAATCACATCTAGAGAGTCAGTCCTCCTCTAAACCTGAACCTCCTCTGGAGAGTCAGTCCTCCTCTAAACCTGAACCCCATCTGGAGAGTCAGTCCTCCTCTAAACCTGAACCACATCTAGAGAGTCAGTCCTCCTCTAAACCTGAACCACATCTAGAGAGTCAGTCCTCCTCTAAACCTGAACCACATCTAGAGAGTCAGTCCTCCTCTAAACCTGAACCTCCTCTGGAGAGTCAGTCCTCTAAACCTGAACCACATCTAGAGAGTCAGTCCTCTAAACCTGAACCTCCTCTGGAGAGTCAGTCCTCTAAACCTGAACGACATCTAGAGAGTCAGTCCTCTAAACCTGAACCCCATCTGGAGAGTCAGTCCTCTAAGCCTGAACCCCATCTAGAGAGTCAGTCCTCTAAAACTGAACCCCATCTGGACTCCGAACTGGGCCCCTGTGTCATAAGATCCCTTTGTATAGCACCAGTTCTTGTGCCGGTCTGCAGAGATCCAGATCCTGGCTCAGCAAAACCTCCAGGAGCAACCTCTTCCTCCAGAGCCGGACCCTCAGCTGCCCAGAACCTGGATCCAGCCCCAGGAGATCCAAAACCTGCAGCTTTCGGGTCTTTAGAGGATCTGGAGAGCACAGAATCTCCAGCTCTAGAACCTGCAGGTCTACGAGAGAGACCCTGGTCCCTGAACCTGTCCTCCAGCGGCCTCCTCTCAGGTCAGTAAACATTCAAAAGACATCAACTTATATTGTCTGTATAAACATTCAGCTTGTTTACATATTAGTTGGTGTTTAGCCCAAAGAACAACATGTTCACTGCGGCCTCAGCGAGCTGTACTCATCGAAGGAAGAAAAGTCATTGAGTCCCGATCGGCACTGCTTTTAAATCCAGGATTTACTTTGAGGTTATAGATCTGATGCTTTTTATGAACGTCAATGGAAAAGCTTCACGTGTAAAAATGTATGGATTGAGTTCTCTAAGAAAAGCTTTCTGTTTCTCTGACAGATAGCAGTCTGAAGATAAAGCGCCGTGTGAAGACTCCCTACACCCTGAAGAAGTGGCGTCCGGCATCCTGGGGCGTTCCCTCTGAAGCCACTTCCTGCCGGGAGTTCAGCCGCCAGAGAGCAGGAAGCGTCTCCAGGGTCCGTCCGTCCAGAGCCACGACCTCTGACCCCAACTCCTGCTTCTAACCATGGACTTTTAATAACAACTGGATACAGCGTTGGAGGCGGGGCTCGGGTCATTAAGCTCTGCCCCCCGAGCGCCCACTCTCGGCTCACTAGAATGAATGGAGAGAGAAAATAAATCTAGATTGGGCTTTTAGTGCATTTTACAACTTTAAGGACCTAATGATTCTAATAAGGGCTATAAATAGTTCACACTGGGTAGTTTATTTAGTTTCTTTCCCAATGTTAATCAAGATAGAAAGTCTTTCTGGCCCAGTGACGTCACGCACTGATAAAGAAATTGTAGTGCCGCCGTTTGGCCACTAGGACTATTTCCCTCAGAGTCCGGAGCACTTCTTGGGGGCTTGGTTCTAACGCCCATCAGGAGCGGATCTTTTTACTTCTCTTTTATTGTGAAACACGAAAATAACAGACTGAGGTGAATTAAATTATATTGGAGGACAGGAAGTGCCCCAAACCTATTAATTTCTTATAGTTACTGACCACTTTTACATACAATAAATACTCCAGTTTCTGGCCAATAAAGGCAGTATTCTTACTAAGCTGTTTTTAAATGAATACATCACTAATATTCCTGTTTATATGAAGACTGCATGGAGTGAAGCAGGGACGTGGTGTGTCTGTGTTTGTCCCTGAAGGCAGCATCTCCCTGGACCAATGGGATTCCTCATTTTGGATTATGTCAGAAAATAATCAAACAAACGTTTATGATACTTACACTTTTAGTTCAGCAGGATAATCTCCACATATTAACACCACTATGATTTCTGAAGTAAAAAGCTAATGGTGGGCTATAAAGGAACTACAGCACGGTCACATGACTTCACGTCACCACCGCTAAGCTAAAGGTGGCTAATGTTGGGCTATAGAGGAACTACAGCACGGTCACATGACTTCACGTCACCACCGCTAAGCTAAAGGAGGCTAATGGTGGGCTATAAAGGAACTACAGCACGGTCACATGACTTCACGTCACCACCGCTAAGCTAAAGGTGGCTAATGTTCGGCTATAGAGGAACTACAGCACGGTCACATGACTTCACGTCACCACCGCTAAGCTAAAGGAGGCTAATGGTGGGCTATAAAGGAACTACAGCACGGTCACATGACTTCACATCACCACCGCTAAGCTAAAGGTGGCTAATGTTGGGCTATAGAGGAACTACAGCACGGTCACATGACTTCACGTCACCACCGCTAAGCTAAAGGAGGCTAATGTTGGGCTATAAAGGAACTACAGCACGGTCACATGACTTCACGTCACCACCGCTAAGCTAAAGGTGGCTAATGTTGGGCTATAAAGGAACTACAGCACGGTCACATGACTTCACGTCACCACCGCTAAGCTAAAGGTGGCTAATGTTGGGCTATAAAGGAACTACGGCACGGTCACATGACGTCACGTCACCACCGCTAAGCTAAAGGAGGCTAATGTTGGGCTATAGAGGAACTACAGCACGGTCACATGACTTCACGTCACCACCGCTAAGCTAAAGGTGGCTAATGTTGGGCTATAAAGGAACTACAGCACGGTCACATGACTTCACGTCACCACCGCTAAGCTAAAGGAGGCTAATGTTGGGCTATAAAGGAACTACAGCACGGTCACATGACTTCACGTCACCGCCGCTAAGCTAAAGGAGGCTAATGTTGGGCTATAAAGGAACTACAGCACGGTCACATGACTTCACGTCACCACCGCTAAGCTAAAGGAGGCTAATGTTGGGCTATAAAGGAACTACAGCACGGTCACATGACTTCACGTCACCACCGCTAAGCTAAAGGTGGCTAATGTTGGGTGTGATGACGTTTAGTTGTCTCATTTAGACTCTTGTTAGCAACCTCTGTTCTTTAATCCACCAATGGGGTATTTACTGATGTATTTTATGGGGTAGTAGCAAAACGTTAAAATATCTTCAGCTCGTGTTAACCATAGACCTGATTTCAGGCTAACAACCAGAAGCACATTCAGAAACCATTGACCTCCAGACAGGAAGTGATGCTGACTCATGGGTGTAGAACTCTAGATCTGTAGAACAGTGTATTATCTGATGGATTATTTACACACATTATCATTATTTAAGCACTTTAAAATAATTTTGATAAAAAAAACGTATAAAGGTGCAATCACATTAAACCTTAATTCAAAGTTCCATTTAAAGCTTGACTCTAGCTATGCACTGGAGAATCACTGTGGCTTATGTGCTTTTATTTTGAAAGTATTTGAATATGAGCGGCTTAAAGTTAGTCAGAAACTCAATGCTTCACATGAAAAGAAGAAAGTGACTTTAAGCTAATGTGTGAATGAGTTAGTTATTTTGTGAATTAAAGAATTTAACAAGGAAAAAAGATCTTCGTAGGAAAAAAAAGAATATAAATAAATATATATGATAAAAGAATACTGTACATGGAGGGGGATAACAGATGAGAGAATACAAAGTCAAATATTACCCAGATAGAAAGTTGTAAAGTAAAGAGTCCCTATTCTTTTTTTTAGTGTTCCCTATCCTTTAGTGTGTTCTATAGGTTTTTGTGCATGTAACATCAGCAGGAGAGGACTCTTTAAAGTAGAGACACTACATACTGATATACACCTGAACATCAGCAGGAGAGGACTCTTTAAAGTAGAGACACTACATACTGATATACACCTGAACATCATCAGGAGAGGACTCTTTAAAGTAGAGACACTACATACTGATATACACCTGAACATCAGCAGGAGAGGACTCTTTAAAGTAGAGACACTACATACTGATATACACCTGAACATCAGCAGGAGAGGACTCTTTAAAGTAGAGACACTACATACTGATATACACCTGAACATCATCAGGAGAGGACTCTTTAAAGTAGAGACACTACATACTGATATACACCTGAACATCAGCAGGAGAGGACTCTTTAAAGTAGAGACACTACATACTGATATACACCTGAACATCAGCAGGAGAGGACTCTTTAAAGTAGAGATACTACATACTGATATACACCTGAACATCAGCAGGAGAGGACTCTTTAAAGTAGAGACACTACATACTGATATACACCTGAACATCAGCAGGAGAGGACTCTTTAAAGTAGAGACACTACATACTGATATACACCTGAACATCAGCAGGAGAGGACTCTTTAAAGTAGAGACACTACATACTGATATACACCTGGACATCAGCAGGAGAGGACTCTTTAAAGTAGAGACACTACATACTGATATACACCTGAACATCAGCAGGAGAGGACTCTTTAAAGTAGAGACACTACATACTGATATACACCTGAACATCATCAGGAGAGGACTCTTTAAAGTAGAGACACTACATACTGATATACACCTGAACATCAGCAGGAGAGGACTCTTTAAAGTAGAGACACTACATACTGATATACACCTGAACATCAGCAGGAGAGGACTCTTTAAAGTAGAGACACTACATACTGATATACACCTGAACATCATCAGGAGAGGACTCTTTAAAGTAGAGACACTACATACTGATATACACCTGAACATCAGCAGGAGAGGACTCTTTAAAGTAGAGACACTACATACTGATATACACCTGAACATCAGCAGGAGAGGACTCTTTAAAGTAGAGATACTACATACTGATATACACCTGAACATCAGCAGGAGAGGACTCTTTAAAGTAGAGACACTACATACTGATATACACCTGAACATCAGCAGGAGAGGACTCTTTAAAGTAGAGACACTACATACTGATATACACCTGAACATCAGCAGGAGAGGACTCTTTAAAGTAGAGACACTACATACTGATATACACCTGAACATCAGCAGGAGAGGACTCTTTAAAGTAGAGACACTACATACTGATATACACCTGAACATCAGCAGGAGAGGACTCTTTAAAGTAGAGACACTACATACTGATATACACCTGAACATCAGCAGGAGAGGACTCTTTAAAGTAGGGACACTACATACTGATATACACCTGAACATCAGCAGGAGAGGACTCTTTAAAGTAGAGACACTACATACTGATATACACCTGAACATCATCAGGAGAGGACTCTTTAAAGTAGAGACACTACATACTGATATACACCTGAACATCAGCAGGAGAGGACTCTTTAAAGTAGAGACACTACATACTGATATACACCTGAACATCAGCAGGAGAGGACTCTTTAAAGTAGAGACACTACATACTGATATACACCTGAACATCAGCAGGAGAGGACTCTTTAAAGTAGAGACACTACATACTGATATACACCTGAACATCAGCAGGAGAGGACTCTTTAAAGTAGAGACACTACATACTGATATATTCATCATATTAATTCATCACTTATTTGATATAATATGTAGTTATATTTATTATGACAGCACTTTATATGAACTCAAACTGGCTCTACCTGTAGCTGCTGAACAATGTACACTTTACATTTAAATACGATATAAAGAAGTAATTGGTGTTTAAGACTTTAGTGACACTTTTATATTTAGCTTTTGTTTTTATACAGTTCATAGTTTCTCTGCTTGAAATGCTTTTTTCTAAAGTCTTGATTTAATAAAAGCCAGCTTTGAATATTTTAGATTTTTATGAACAAACTGCTGCTTGAGACTGAAGTTCGTTTTGTTTACCATTTTGAGAGCATTTTTCTTCAGACTTGTTTTGAATGTAAAGATGTTTCTCAGTGTATTTTCTGTGGTTTCAGGATTATTTTGATATGTTTATTGAAATGAAATCACTGCTGAATTATCCCTTTAATAACATTTATAATGATTATTATCTACATGTTTATCTGCGTTCAGGATCAACGCTGTTGACACTGTTCCTGCAGAAAACAGGCAGAAATATTATGAATATCACACGAAGGCTTATTAGGACCATTGTAGGTTTAAAACATATACATATATGTATATATATATATATACATATATGAATAATCAGAGAATATTCATGATTTTCTCATCAATTGGCGCTCTTATACGTCACATTATTTCTGTTTTGTACTCTGTAAAATAAATCATGTTTCTGCTGAGGACACGCTTTCCTTTGTCTGTTTTGTGAATACTCTGCAGGTCGTGCACTTCACATGGGAACAGCTGTCCTGCAGATATCATATGAATGCACCCTGGGGATTATCCAACACGTTGTAAATCCACGGAGAGGAGAAGTCTAAGTTCTGCTTTGAATACAATTATGAAATGAAATAATTAAAAATAAAGTGTTTTGCTCTGTGATGTAAGGATTTCTGATAGAATGTCAAACATTATGCAAGAAGTCATTGTAGCTACAGTAACTCTAACATTATGAAATAAGTCATTACAGTAACTCTAACATTATGAAAGAAGTCATTACAGTAACTCTAACATTATGAAATAAGTCATTACAGTAAATCTAACATTATGAAATAAGTCATTACAGTAAATCTAACATTATGAAAGAAGTCATTACAGTAAAACTAACATTATGTATATGATAGTATAGTGAATGAAGATTAAGGCTAAAAGGGACCGTTGTGGAGGTGATCATAAAACCTCTGAGCGTTGAAAGAGAAGCAGGAGACACACAGAGACACAGGAGAGAGGCGTAGTGCTGAATCATGCTTTATTAAATCAGAAATGCATTAACTCAAGGAGGATGCAATAAAGGTCTACAGATCGAAGTTCAGACGTTAGCTTCCTCTGCAGCAGATGGAGACGCTGCTGGATAAAGAGGAGCCCGCTATCAGCTAACACACACACACACACACACAGCGATCCTCCAGAGTGGCGCTGCTCTGTGCAGCACAGCGACAGATAGCCGCAGCCGCCGCGCCGTGCAGAGCAGCGCTCAGAATACAAATAATATGAATAATTAATAACTGAGACGGTGAGAGCGCGCTCATCGACACGTCGGCGGGGGGCGAGGCCGGTTCACGCTGCGTACATGAGGGTTAGCACACAGCGCTCAGGGCCTCGTCCTCCGTCAGAAACGGAAAGATCCAAAATAATAAGTTTGTCTGAGTTTCGTCGGCAGGGAGCCGCTCTACCTGCCGAGGCCAGCTTTAGACTTCAACTGATCGTTGAGGCACAGAGTTTCGTTTCTCGCTTCTCAGGGTATTCGTTCCTGGGGAAACTTTCTCCTGGTGAAACGTGTTCATCTTTGTTTCAGGTAATATTGTCATAAATAACAATGCATACATTTCCCATAACCGTTCAATTCGGCTATATACATTATGTACATGTCACAGTTCAAAAATCCTACGTCTTAATTGTCCAATATGGCACATTTTATAACAACGTTAGACGTGAGTCTAGTTTGGCATAAATTAATGTCAAGTTTGGTACAAAAATAGTTCATATTTACAAAACAGGAATCCAGATCGTTCTCACGTAAAAATGATCATTGCTAATTCACTAAATCAAAGGTTCTGGAGTAGGGGAGCGGGGAAATAAATTAACTTTTAGGTTTTTACATGGAGCAGACGTGATCAGGGTCTCCGGGCTCAGTGTCCATCAGTCGGGGGCATCTGGAGGTGAAAACAAAATAAATAAATTACTAATCAGACACAGGAATAGCCACTTCATAGTATCACAAGCGCTATGTGTAATGTGTATTCATACCATGTGTTCAACACATGTGTTTGTATATGGGATTGAATCTGGGGGGACAGATAGTTTTCCTCTTACCTTTACGGAGTCGGGGACTTTGGAGAGACTGGGGACTTCACCCTCTGTGGAGACTTGATTGGCTCCGGGGACTTGACCCTCAGAGGGGATTTGATTGGCTCCGGGGACTTGACCCTCAGAGGGGATTTGATTGGCTCCGGGGACTTGACCCTCAGAGGGGATTTGATTGGCTCCGGGGACTTGACCCTCTGAGGAGACTTGATTGGTTCGGGGGACTTGACTGGTATGGGGGACTTGGCCTCAGGGGAGGTGATTCTGGCCGCCAGTTTCTCCTTGGATTCGGACTTGCGGACGGTCAGAGTGAAATGGGCCTCTTGTTTGCCTCCGGCGTTTTCCACCAGCACGGAGTAGCTGCCATCGTCCGACATCTCCACGGTGGAGATCTCTAAGGAGGAGCTGCGCTGCGTGGAGACGATGTGGTGACGGAAAGAGGATCCGATGGAGGATCCTTGGTGGAGCCAGGTGATTGAAGGCGCCGGTTCGCCGTCCGCATCGCACTCAAACCTGACGAAGTCTCCCTCCTCCACTGTCAGGGAGTGAGGTTTGCTCAGGATCTTGGCTGGAGAAGTCGTCTTCTCCTTACGCTTCTCAACAACAACAGTGGTGCTCTTTGTCTCAGTCCTGCTCTCCATCACGGTTGTCTTCGAGGAGGACATGTGATACTCCTCTGTCCGGGTCATCTCTGGGAGATGGGAGGACGGAGGCTCCTCGTCTTTGCGGAGCGAGGAGAAGGCAGCGTATTCCTCTCCGGCCACATCCAACGTGGCGTAGTCCGAAGTCTCTCCCTTGGCGTTGGTGCAGACCACGCGGTACGTGCCGGAGTCTTCAGTCATGCAGTTGTTAATCCTGAGAGTCAGGACCCCACTGAGGTGGCTCATGTGGTATTTGCCGGTCTGATGAATCTCTTTCCCATTGTGGAACCACTTGACCTCTGGCTCGGGTCTGGCCTGGATGTTCAGGGTGAACCTGGTGTTGGAGCTGTAGGGTACGCGGTGCGACCGCATCCTAATGGTGATCCGGGGGCCGTGGTCAAGACTGAAGGGAGCCTGTGTCACAGTCTCGAAAGTCCTCTCCACCGATTTCCTCTCCGATCTCAGAGCCATCTTTCTCTCCTCATACCTGGAGGCATAGTCGACTTTAGTGAGGGCCACATCGGACACGGCAGACCTTTCTTGGCTACGTGATGTCCTTATGTGGGGCTCAGGTGTTTCGAGCTTCTTGATTGGTTTGGGCATATATTCGGAGGTGAAGGATGTGAGGTGTTCAGATTCAACGTCCTTAGAGTAGGTCGAGACGGTGACAGTTGTTTCCTTTTTAGAGGTGCGAGTCTTCTCCTCAAACTCCATGCGTTTGAGCGCACTCTTGTAGGTGGATAACCTCTGGCCGGTTGTGTGAGGGCGCAGCAGCTCCTGGTCTTCTCTCTCCTCATGCACCCTCTGTTTCTGTCTTTGAGGTCTGTGGGTGGCTTTGTCGTGTCGCTGGCGGAGGTCAACGTAACTGGGTCCGGCCTCGTATTTAGATGGGATTCTATAGGAGTCGTATCTACAGGCCTCTTCCGCCTCTTCGTCCTCGCGGTAGGCTTTTCTTGGGGATGATGGACGCAGGGCCGACAGCTCGAAGCGCACCGGGCTGAAACTGGGTGGGGAAGCAGAGTAACCATACTCCAGCTCATCCTCCAGACGAAGCCTCTCCTCCTCAGTCCTCTTCATGGACAGGTACTCTTTCACAGGCAGCAGGAGCTCCTCGTCGGACATGTCACCCAGAGACCTCCTCCTGATGCGGTGGTAGGCTTCCAGCTCAGGGGAAGGAGAGCGCTGCCTTGCAGGCCTCACGGTCTCCAAGTCGTCCTGAGTCATGGCAGAGATGCGCCACTTGGGCTTATACTGGTCCTTGATCCTGATAGGAATCTCGTAGAACTGGTCCCACCTGGAGAGGCGGATACGCTTCAACCTCTTCTGCTGGATTTTGTCCATCGGCTCAGGGAACTCGTACTGATCTCGCAGCTTCTTGTACCACTTCATGTCAGAGAGTGGCTGGAAGTGTTTGATCTCCACGTCCTCCATGAGAGACGCAGGGTTAATGACGCGAGGAGCAGGAACATCGTATGGCATGCGCAGCCTCTTTTCATCAGCGCGCTTCTTCTTCTCCTCTTTTTCCTTCTGAATCTCCGCCTCGGTCTTCTCCCCCTTCTTTGTGGTCACGGCGGGCTTGAACATGGAGGCTGCCTCCCTGACTGCCTGCACTGCCAAGGGTGGTAGAGGTATGAATACTGTGTCAGACAGAATCTGAGACAGCCTCACCTTTTTGTCCATTTCTGCCTTTCCAGCCATTGCTTTCTTCTCCTTGGCACTCATTTCGACTTCCCTCCTCACGTGAGTGGACCGCTCGACCTTGAGTGTTGCCTGGCAGCTGGCGGAGCCGGCAGAGTTGGTAGCAGTGACTCGGTAAACACCGGAGTCGTCAATCAGAGTGCCTCCTACGTGAAGGATGTAGTAATCAAGACCCTCATGGATGACCTCGATGGACGGTCCAAAGGCCAAAGGCATGCCGTCCTTCTCCCACTTCAATTGGGGATGTCCGGATACTCTGATCTCAAAGCGCACATTCTGGCCCTCCCGGCACTCCACGTTGGCGAGCAGGCGTTTGAACATTGGCCTCAAGGTGAGGTCTGCTGGTTTAGGTCGGGGAACAATGGTGATACGAGCCTTGCAGCTGTCATCACCGAAACTGTTGCGTGCCACAACGCTGTACTCGGCATCGTCCTCATCCTCAAGTTTGTGGATGATCATCTGGTACAGGCCCTTGTCGCTGATAAAGGTGTATTTCTTTTCATCTTGTCCAGGGACCAGTTTCTGTCCAGATTTGTGCCAGACGACACGAGGCTCTGGGTGAACTGTGACGGTGACACTAAGGCGTATGTCCTCACCAATGTAGGCGGTGCGGTTGACCAAAGGAAGAGTGAACTCCGGAGGCTTCTGAAGCATCCTGGCAGTGTCCACTCTGCGCTTCGTCTTCTTTACCACGCGGGCGGTGAAGAAGTCACGGTAAGATCTGACACCGTTGATAAACAGCTCTGCGTAGGCGCTGTCCTCTCCATACTCGTTCACAATCTTGCATCTGTAGGTGCCATCATCTGCCCTCGTGACCTTGTTGATGGTGATGAAAGCCAGGCCGTCCTCAAATTCAATTTCATATTTGTCTCCAGCTTCAAGCTGCCTGACGCCACAGTACCATGTGACTTCAGTAGTACTGTCGTAGTTTTCAATGTTGCAGCCAAATTTCACATTGCTTCCCTCTTTCGCCACGGCATGGCTGATCTGGCCTCCGACAGGGCCGTGTTCAAACGGAGCGATCTTCACCTTGGAGACAAAGACGCCACGCTGGGTTCTGATGGAGCCGCCGCTGGCTACACGGGCTGCGGAGACAACTGTCTTCCACTCTTTCTTTTCCATTGTCTGGTAGTATCTCTTGTGTCTGCCGGTCTGCATCGCCCTGCTGCTGATCTCCTCTGCAGGCTTGGTCAGCCAAGGATGCACCAGAGCCTCGGCCGCGGACATACGATGTTTACGCTCCTTCGTCATCAGGCGGTCTGTGAAGTCCAACGCCTCCACACTGACCTGTTTGAAGGACTCGTCTTCGTAGGTGTAGGCGGCACTGGAGATGTTGTCAATCATCTGCTGGTTTGTTTCAGCTGTGAATGGATTCAGGCCACTGAGGAGCACGTAGGTGAGGACACCCACCGCCCACATGTCGGTGACGGCGCTGACCATGTCACACTGGTGGATCTCAGGAGCAGCGTACTCTGCAGTGGTGTACTGGACTTTGATGATGTCTCCAGGAGTCAGGTGTCTGGACTGGCCCAACTCAATGATCTTCACGTTAGAGCCGGTTCGAGTTGTGTACACGATGTTCTCAGGTCTGATGTCAAAGTGTCCGTAGCTCTCATCATGCAGGAAATCAAGAGCCGAGCAGATCTGCCGGATGTAGTTGACGATCTCGCGCTCATTGAACTCAAACTCGGCTGTGCTGAGGCGCTCAAAGATGTCTGCGCCAGATATGAAGTCATAGATCAACACCAGCTCCTCTGGGCTGTCAAAGGACTCTTGCAGGAGCAGGAAGTTTTCATGTTTCGCCAGATTTAGGGTAGCGATTTCCTTCTTGACGATCGCTTGATCAGCGCCTCTCACCTTGCAGTATTTAGCCATGTAAGTCTTCTCAGTGGTGATGTTCACACAGCGGTGGACAATACCAAACTGACCTCTGCCCAACTCCTCTGCAATGGCGTACTTGGTGTGCATATTCTTGACGTCAGAGTGAATCTTGCCCCTGGGGATGCGACCACTATCGTCCACCTCCTGGTCGTACAGCAGGACTCTGGATTTGTCCTCCTTGGTCATGATTGGTCCGCTGGTCTCAGATGGAGTGCTCTGTCCAAACTTGTTCTCAGCGATGACTCTGAACTGGTAGCTGGTTCCTCCGAAGAGATTGGTCACGGTGTAGTGGGTGTCTCTGGACTGGACGACGCGCTCCCACCTCTCGGCGGTGGTGGGGCACTTCTCAATGATGTAGCTGACGACCCTGCTGCCTCCGTCATTGGCGGGGGCCACCCAGTTCAGCCTGACAGAATCCCTGGAGACGTCGGTGGCTTTGACTCCACGTGGAGGATCGGGAACGTCGGCCACATCCAACTCGACTGTCTGCTGGTCGATTCCAAACCTGTTCTTGGCACAGACAATGTAGAAACCGGCATCCTTCTTCTCCACTCCGTTGGAGAACACCAGCGAGGTGAACGACCTGGTGACGATGACCTGGTAGTGGCCGTTGCTGTCGATGAGATCTTGTCCCTTCTGCCATGTGATGACAGGATCTGGTTTGCCGCTGAAAGGAATCTTGATATTGACCACTTCTCCGCGCAGGGCGGGAATGGCTTCCTTGTCCTTCAGGTTCTTCGGCAGGTTGATCTTGGCTGGAACTAGAAATAAGAAAATGTTTAAATGTCAAGTCTTATTTAAATTCCTGCAAACACAACCTCTTCTAAAATTGTCTCAGCTCTAAATATGTTGTAGATATTTGTACCTAACTCAGTTCATGTTCTGCCCCCGTGTTAATGCCATGTACTGATACACCAAAGCAAATTCCTGGAACATGTCTATCTTAGGGAATATTTTGGGTTTTTCAATTGACAGAAGAAATGTTTCCCTATTCTGACTTTATAAACCAAATAAAAAAACTGGTTGGGAACCAGTGGCCCGGAAAATAAATCTGAACTTACTTTCCACATCCAGAGACACAGTGGCGCAGATGGAGCCTCCCTGGTTGGTGGCCCTGATCTGGTACACGGTGGAGTCTTCATCGTCCGCCTCGGTGATCACCAGCTGGTGGTAGCCTCCCTTGAACTCCTGGATCTTGATCTTCTTTCCGTCAGAGTGGATCTCCTTTCCTCGTCTGAACCACTTGATCACAGGCTTGGGCTGGCCAAGGATCTTGCACACCAAGGTGGCGTTGCTCTTGTACTTGACGCTCATGTTCCTCAGCTCCTCCTTGAAGGCAGGAGCACGGATATCCATAGCGGTGACCGGCACGATGGGCGCGGTCTCCTCGCTGTAGTCGCTCTCACCTCCCAGGTTCTCGCATTTCACGCGGAAGATGCACTCGACGCCCTCGGCCAGGTGCTTGGCGGAGAACACAGTCTGCTTGATCTCATCCTTTGTCACCGCGGCCCACTCGCTCCATTCCTTCTTGTCCTTCTTGAACTTCTTCTCCAGGCAGTAGCACTTAATCTTGGAGCCGCCGTCGCTGAGAGGAGGCTTCCAGGAAACCACGCAGGAGTCTTTGGTGATGCCGGAAACAACCGGAGACAGAGGAGGTGATGGTTTCTCTGCGTGAGGAAAACACAATCCAGAAACCATGAGTACATGTGGGTGTTTGTAGATAACAATAAGGTGTCAGGAAATTATAAAAGAAGGGGTTGATCTTTTTTTCTACAGATTTGTGGCTAAACTCAAACATGATTGAACACTGAAGAATACATAAAGATGTATGATGTGTCAGAGTTAGCGCAGACCGTAGTATCAGCGCTGTATCTTTCAGGAAGTTAGCATTTAAGTACTAGATAAAAACATGGGTTGCTTTTTATCAGACTTTTAACACCAATGAAATAAATAAAAACATACCCAGCTGGCTCTTGATGAGGATGGGGGCGCTGAGCTCCAGAGGTTCGCTGTTGCCGTAGCGGTTCTGGGCGTAAACCCTGAAGAAGTACCCGGCGCTGTCGATGAGGTTGGGCACGCGGCAGGAGATGCCGTTAATGGAGGAGGACACCAGTTCCCACTCGGTGCCTTCCTTGTCCTCACGCTTTTCCACGATGTAGTTTGTGATCATGCAACCGCCATCGTCTGCGGGCGCCTTCCAGCTGATGATGACCGAGTTCTTCAGCAGAGCCTCCAGCTTGATGGGGCCCTGAGGCATCTCAGGTTTGTCTGTAAACACAGGCAGCATATTCGATTATAACCTCAACACTGACAGTCTGAATATGTGAGTTGGGGGAAGGGAGCAGAACCTCCATTTAAATTCTAAAAGAGAATAACAAATACTCAAAAATGCTTATAGACCAAAGCAAACTGCACTCAACTGGAATCTAATTATAATAACAGTATAGTACCAATAACGTTTCCCTTTCTTTATCTGCTTATAGTATATTGCTAATAACATTAGCCTCATCTTCTAACATGTTAACAGTCCCCCTAACAAATCTGTTGCAGCTCCGTACCGTAGATCTCTACGTTGAAGGCGGTGTCCGCCCGGCCAAAGTGGTTGTGCAGCCGGATTCTGTATTTTCCTCCGTGCTTTCTGCGCTGCACGTTCTTGATCACCAGGTGGGTGTAGAACCCGGTGGTCTCGATGCTGATGTCGTCTGTGTCCTGCAGGGTCTTAGCGCCGTGCAGCCACATGATCTTGGGCTCTGGCCGGCCGATGTAGACGCAGTGGATGCGCAGGGTGGACCCCAGGCCGGCGTAGTAGGTTTCCTTCAGCGGGTAGTCGGGGTGGAAGCGTGCAGCGGCCTCCAGCACCAGCGTGCCGGTGGTCTCGGCCTCGCCGGCGTCGTTGAGAGCCTTGCAGGTGTAATCGCCCTCATCCTCCTGCTGGTCCGTGCTGATGGACAGCGAGTGGTTGCGGCCGTCAGAGCTCATCTCAAACTTGCGGGACTCTATGACCTCCTTGCCGGTGTGGTACCACTTGATGTCGGGGAGGGGTCTGCCGATGATCTGGCACTTCATAACGCCGGGCTGGCCCAGTTTGGTTGTCACTTCGTCCATTTCCTTTCTCAGGCCCGGTGCAGTTTCAACTGTGCCACAGAACAAGGAACATGTTTATTAGTACCTTAAATAATGGGATTTCAGAATGACTTAATGATAATACTAAATATTATACTGCCAATAATAATAATGATGATCTGGCTCACCGCTGAGCTTGGTCCTGATGCAGGTGGCGGTCCTGCGTGGTCGGCTCATGCCCGTCTCGTTCTCGGCGAACACTCTGAACTCGTACTCGGTTGCCTCGGCGAGGCTGTAGGCGGTGAACTCCTTCTCCTTCAGCCTCTGCTTGCTGGACTTCGTCCATTTGCTCTCTATGGACTTCCTGTGTTCCACCCAGTAGCCGAGCACCTCCTTTCCTCCGTCACACGCTGGTGCCTTCCAGCGGATGGCGATAGAGTTCTTTGCCACGGTAACCGTGTCGATCTCGCCCGGTTGACTAGGCTTGTCTGGGGAGAGAAATAAAAACAATAAGCTCCTGGTGCCAATGAATACATAAATGTAACAATTTCCCCTCTGTGGGACTAATAAAGTTATTCTGATTCTGATCAGATTCTGTTTGGGAGTTTCACAGGCAATGGTTTCCTTAAAACAGCTTTCCAACTTTATTTTGGTCCAAATCAAATGTTTTATTGTCAATTCATCTCTCATGAATCAACTATCTATTTAAGTACTTTCTAAAACATGGGTGACCGGAGCCGTTTAAAATATTTGTGTATATTCTTCTATTCTTAATGTATGGCTCTGGTTCTGGCTTTTGTTGTGACTTTGGTTCTGGTTCTCACCGAATGGATCCTTGCATGTGACGGGCTCGGACGCGGGCCCAGACTCGCTCTGTCCGATGGCGTTGGCGGCGACGATGCGGAAGGAGTATTCGGCATCGGGCATGAGGCCGGACAGTGTGAACATGGTGGAGCTGACGGCGACCATGTGCCGCGTCCACGTCTCCACGGACACCAGTTTGTGCTCAATGAAGTATCCCGTGATGGCAGAGCCACCGTCGTACTTTGGTTTGACCCAGGCCAACGCCACGGAGCTCTTGGTGACGTCCACGATCTCCGGCGCGGTGATGAGAGCCTCGGGGACACCTAGGTAAAAGAAAAACACATTTAGTACTGAATCATTACTCACTGTTCAACACTACAGGTGTTACACATATTCTTCTTCCTGTATCTTTGAATGCACCATTTACACCGAAGCAAATTCCTCATATGTGTAAACCTACTTGGTAATAAAACCGTTTCAGATTCTGCAATGTAACTAACAGATTTCACAATGAAATATGTTAGTTACCCCCCGACTTCATTACTGACATTGACACAATTATTTGTTATATTGGTTATTAACGTTTGGTGAGTTTAGGAGAACTCTGTAATCATAAACAAAGTTAGTGAAATAAACTCCTGCATGTGGATTTTGAAGGAACACTTACAGATGGGGGTCTTGGGAACCAGAGGCTGCTCGGACTTCAGAGAGGAGCTGACGCCGAAGGAGTTTTCGGCGGTCACCTTGAAGTGGTACTCCACCCCCTCCGACAGGCCCTTCACCAGAAGATGTGTTTCTGTGACTCTGGAGTCCACGGTGTACCATGCGTTCCTCGTCGCCTCACGTCTCTCCACGATGTAGCCCAGGATCTCTGCACCACCATCGTCTTCGGGCGTCTTCCAGGACACCTTGACGGAGTTGGCTTGGATCTCTTCGAACATCAGCGGGCCCTGGGGTGCTGCCGGCCGTCCGATGACCTTCACCTTGATGGTGGCCTTCTTCTTGCCCATGGCGTTCTGCAGCAGCAGCTCGTAGACGCCGGTGTCGCTCCTCTCCGCTCCCTTGATCACCAGCTCGCTGGCGTCCTCTGTGGAGGCGATCATGGCCTTGGCAGAGAAGGCGCCACTGTCCTTGGACCAGGTGCAGGTCGGGTGAGGTTTACCCTTGACGGGCACGGAGAGGCGGACCACGCCTCCGTGACGAACCACGTACAAGTCTTTGTACTTCAGCTCCAGGTCGTAGTCCGGAGATTCTGCAACAACCAGAGTTTAAACATTACTATTCCTGCAGGACGGGTCATTCTTATAGTTCAAGTTTTTGTTATTGCTGGCCTTCTTCTAAGTTTGACAATGTCCCCTCTGTGGTATGTGTAAAGGAATTCTGATTCTGAAATAAGAAAAGTTCTATATTTCTGCATCCTGCACATCCTTTGTTCTAAGTCTGCTTTATTTTTCCTCTGTAGTATTTATTTCTGTCAGCTTTTTGAGAACTGAACAAAAGACTGTAATAGATGTTAATACTCATATATAATCCTCTTACCGAGCATCTCCGTTACAGTGACGGTTCCTGGCACCTCGGCGGGTTCTCCGGAGCCACCGGCATTGCAGGCCATCACGCGGAACTTGAACTCCTCGCCCTGAGGCATCTGGGTGAGTGTGTACTCGCAGATGAGGGATGGCGTGGTGTTGCACTTCATCCAGGCCATGCTGCCCACCTTCTGCATCTCGATCAGGTAGCCGTCCACCCGGGCGTCGCCCTCGTCGTCGGGAGGACTCCAGGCCAGAGACACGGAGGACTTGGTGGTGTCGGTGATCCTCGGGTTCTGGGGACAGCCAGGAGGATCTGTGGGGGGGGGGGTATCGTTACCTCAGCTTGTATGGTAACTTCAGATCCAGACGTTATATTACTCAAATCCTCCATCAGTCAAAACGCACCGAGATTTAGTGTATGGAAAAAGGTGGCTTAACCCTGGATTAAAGGTCAGTTAATGACTTCAGTCTCAGATCATTTCTGATTCTCTTCTCCAAAAGTTTTCTTATCCCAAACTATATATTTTTCTTTTACATTTTGTAAATATTTATTGTACATTTATTTATGTTTTTCTTGTATTTGTGAGTTTTTTTTCATAGAAATGTCTCATCTGTTTCATCAAACAGTGTTTTAAAAGATATACATATTTTGTTCGTGCAATAAGCTATCTCAAGGAACGCACTGATTCAATTCCCTAATATTACAGCATAGACCCAACTGTTTCAAGACATTCTGATGTACCACCGCTGCGATGGCGGCCCTTCGATGTGGACCAGTTTTACAGTACTGGGTCTGTCTCTTACCGATGGGGTCTGTGGCGACGGCGGGTTTGGACAGCAGGCTGGGTTTGCTCTGTCCGCGGGCATTGATTGCGGTGATCCTGTGTTCGTACTCCAGGCCCTCAATCAGATCCGTGGACCGGTACCGGGTCATGGTCACCGGGTTCTTGTTGGCGCGCACCCAGCGCTCCGAACGCACCTCTTTGCGCTCGATGATGTATCCGGAAACCTCAAGGCCGCCGTCTTCCTCGGGCGGGTTCCAGGCCACCGTCATGCCGTCGCGCGAAACGTCGAAGATGGTGGGGCGGCCCGGGGTTCCAGGCGCGTCTGGGGAGGAGATCACACGTTATAAAACAAAGTGAACATATAGGTACAACAGAAATACAAATAAAAAGGTAATAGTAATTAGGGGTGTAACGGTTCACAGAAGTCACGGTTCAGTTCATACCTCGGTTTGGGGGTCACGGTTCGGTACGGTTTCGATACAACAAGGAAAAGTAAAAAAAAAGTCCGAAATGCATATTTTTTTTGCTGTTATTTATTTGTAACAGTAGTGCAAGTTTTGGTATGAAAATAAGGAACTCTAACATTTGGAATCATTAACTGTATTACACAGTTAAAAACAAACCACAAACAGTAACACACACACACACACACACACACACACACACACACACACACACACACACACACACACACACACACACACACACACACACACACACACACACACACACACACACACACACACAGCCATATTATCTATAATGGCTGATGTCAAACTAAAAGGTTCAATAAGCTGAACAACTAAAAATAATGTCTTGAAAATATTAAAATAAATAATAAGAAAGTGTTTGAATCACAATCAATAAAAGGCAACACAGAACTGTATAACATCTCCTGATGTCAACATATAAAATAAATACAATGATAAATATAAAACAAAATAAAATCTGTACCTTTAGGAGCAATGTCTAACATGTGTAATTAACTTGTGAGTGTGTGAGGCCATTATGCCTAAATAAAGGTGCTCAAGCTTTACTCTACTTTCAAGTTGTTCTTCAGAAAGATGAGTTAGTCTACGTTGTCAGCAGTGAGGGCAGATCTGTTGGCGGTAATTATGTCACCTGCCGTCGAGGAAACCCTCTCGCTGGGACTGAGACTGACTCGGATGTGATTGAGCATGTTTGACGTGTTACCACTAGCATACCGCACCGCTGTCGAACAACGCCGACTCACCGTCCTCGTCCGATCCACAACTCGCACCCCATCATTGTTGTAGTCCACAGGGAACCCGAAATGTTCCCACAGCTGATTTCAAAGAAGCAGGTGGGTCTTCTAGCTCCTGTGTGTTGTGTGAACTCGCCGTAGCTACTAACTTTTCTTCTTCATGTATTGTGTTCGTTTTGTTGTGTTCTTGTTCTTCATTTGTTATTTACGGGCGGCTGGCTTTTAGGCGCAATACCGCCCCCTGGATTATATATAGTGTAATGCTGCCCTGAGTGACAGACTTTTTTCCCACTCGTAAAAAAAGGCGTATTCGCCGTGTGACTGCATGTGCCGAACCGTGACGGTACGGGACGAATACGGATACCGTTACACCCCTAATAGTAATACAAATGTCATAATTCTAATAAAGGGTAAACGATTAAAATATAAAAAAACAACGTAAAAAGAAATGTTGCTACTGAAAGTGTTACATAAATAAGATAAAATCCTTTAAGACCTATGAAATAAATAAAACTAAATAAAAGTAGGTAAATAATAAAGACATAGAACAACTCCTTAGCATTAAAAAGGTATTGTCTTACTCTTCAGGCTCTTGCAGGTGACGATCTCTGACTGCAGGAACTCTCCGGTGCCGAAGCGGTTGATGGCAGCGGCGCGGAACACGTACTCGTCTCCTTCGTTGAGGTTCTCGAACTTAAATGTAGGTCGGCTGACGGAGTCGCAGACTGGCACCCAGCCGGGCCGGTGGGCGTCACGTTGCTCCACAGCGTAGCCGCTGACGGGGGCACCGCCGTCCCTGAGGGGGGAGTCCCAGCTGCAGGAGACTGTGGTTGCGTCCACTTCGTCGAACCTGAGTGGGCCCTGGGGCTCATCGGGCTTAGCTGCAGGGGGAACGCAGAGATGTTAGGAAACATTCTAATCAATAAGGTCAGCATAACACATCTGGATTACACACAATAAATATATACAAGAAAAACACGATGATAAAACACTACAGCAGAAAAAACGTCAGAAAACATTTGCTAAGAGAAGTTATCAAATCAAGCTGATAAAAAGCTTTATATGCCAAAGCAATCCTCAGAAAACACACTTCTTGAATTATCTAATTCTTATGGAAACCAGTGATTACGCATCACAGTAACACAGTTCTTAGAAATGTACCATTATTGCTAACAATGAAACCATGTTTATCGCCCAGCCCTCCCTCTTCACAGTCAGCTGTGTGATGTCAGTCAAACATAAAGAGAGAGTAATATTAAAGTTTCCTTACAGAGCACGACGACCTTCACGACCTCGGTGATGACGCCCACGACGTTCTTCACCTCCAGCGCGTAGTCGCCGCTGTCGTCGATGGTGGTGTTGCTCATGGTGAGTTTGGAGAACTTGCCGGTGCTCTGGATGGTGACCCGCTCCGTTTTCTTCATCTTGTTATCTTTGAAGAACCAGGAGCAGACGGGAGGAGGCCGGCCCACCAGAGGCAGGTCCAGCTCCAGGGTCTTTCCGGCCAGGACGTTCACCACCTTCTGAGGAATACTGGAGAAGTCCACCACCGGCAGCACTGGGGAGGAAACACAGCGTCACATTTTTACCTAACTATAGAATGAATGTGGATCCGATCCGGCACAATGACGGAAGTAACAAACAGGAAGTAAGGCACAGGAAGGATTCTTACCTCTCTGTTCCTGCACGGTGATGGCCGTCAGCATCTCTTTGGCCTCGCTGGCTCCTCGGCTGTTGATGGCTTTGATCCTGAACAGGTACTGCTCTTTCTCGTTCAGCTTCTCGATGGTGTGCTCGAAGTCCGTGGTCTTCAGCGTGGCCACCTTCATCCACATGTCGGTGCCGAACTTGCAGGCCTCGATGACGTATCCCGTCAGCCTGCTGCCGCCGTCGTGCTCTGGCTTCTCCCAGCCCAGCGTCACGGTGCTCTTGGTGACGTCTATCATCTCCAGTTTTTGTGGCGGAAGAGGAACCTCGCAGACCAGCACAATGTCGGGGGTCTCGCAGGGCTCTCCGATGCCGTAGATGTTCTCTGGAAGGACCCTGAAGTAGTACAGCATGCCCTCCATCAGCCCGTCGATCTTGTAGGACGTCTTGCTGCACTTGGAGGTGACGGTCTTGTAGGCTCTCATGGACGCCTCGCGACGCTCGATGATGAAGTTATTGACGGGAGCGCCGCCGTCCACCGCCGGAGCCTCCCAGGAGATGGTGGCCGACTCTTTGGTCAGCTCCTTGATCCTGATGGGCCCGGTGGGTCCAGGAGTATCTATCAATGCAAATACGTTGGTTAAATGGAGACACTACAGCAGAATAGGGTAACTTGAATAGGTTGTACAAACTGTGTGCAATATATGCTTTACTTCAATGTATTTATCTGTGAACAGTACCAGCTACTTCCATGGTGCTCTGTTCTGTTATTTGTTTTAACTTATTGCGTTTGTGTGCCTACTTTTTTATTTAATATGTAAGTATATTTGTTCTGCTGTTGTAAAAATAAAGGGATTCTGATTCTGATCACCGTGCAGAATATATAGACCACACGTTCCCTTACCGTAGACTTTGACCAGGATGTTGACTTCCTGTTTGCCGGCAGAGTTTTCTGCCACCAGTGTGTACTTCCCGGCGTCGTAGCGGTGCACCCGATCGATGATGAGCGTGGTGGAGGTGCTGCCGATGTCGATGAAGCCTCGGTTGTGCAGGTCCACCCCTGGTTTGCTCCAGGTGATGGTGGGCACCGGGCGACCAGTAACGCTGACGAACAAGCGGAGTGATCCGCCGGCACGCAGGCAGATGGTCTTCTTCAGGTCGTCATGGAGCTCAAAGTCTGGAGTTTCTGTAGGACAGTATCAGAACAGACATTTATTATAAATACTTTTGTCTGACGAGATGTCGTCTAATGCAGACTCTTGTTAGCACCCTCAGTTTTGATATCCACCAGTGGGGTATTTACTGACGTATTTTATGTGGTACAACGAAAAGTTCAAATCTCTTCAGCATGTTTTAAGAATCTCAGGGTAAGGCCTCGTGCAGTTCTCCATAGAAACTCCAGTTGACTACGAACTGAGTCCCCTTTAATATTTGTTTATTATCTTCAGCTAAGGTGCGGCCCTATCCTCTATTAAACATCAATCTGGCGTTTCCTCTCTCCACGTACCTAGTCTCTCCACGGGCTCGGTCTCGGCACACGGCTCGCTGAAGTCTCCGGTGCCGTTAACGTTGATGCCGGCGACCCTGAAGCAGTACTTCTTCCCGGCGGAGAGCCCGGTCACCGTCAGCTCGGCGGATCGCAGCGTCTTCTCGTGGGCCTTCTTCCACTCCTCAGCCCCGGCCTCCTGCATCTCCAGGATGTAGCCCATCACGTCGGCGCCTCCGTCATCAACGGGCCGAGACCAGGCCAGACTGATGCTGTCGGCGTGGGTGTCGGTGATACGGGGGATAGAGGGTTCAGCAGGGGTGCCTGGGGGCAGATTAATGCATGAGTGATGTACTATAAATGAGTTATGATTTGCAAACAGCAGACACTTCAAAGGTCTCCTATCATCGTCCTCTTCATCAATATATCACAGGTCTCAGATGTATCCAAAGCATGTCTCTGATTGGCTGAAACACCAAACAGATCATTGCAGCATTACCCACAATCCCCTCTGTTTCAGCCCTGTTTCCAAAGTGCTGATTCTCTGTCTGTTACTTTAGATGAAAATAAGGAGCTCCTCCCCACTCTTTCCACAGAGGGGACACGTGTTGATGTAGAAGAGACATGAAGAAGAGGGGACACGTGTTGATGTAGAAGAGACATGGAGAAGAGGGGACACGTGTTGATGTAGAAGAGACATGGAGAAGAGGGGACACATGTTGATGTAGAAGAGACATGAAGAAGAGGGGACACGTGTTGATGTAGAAGAGACATGAAGAAGAGGGGGACACATGTTGATGTAGAAGAAGAGACATGAAGAAAGAGGGGACACGTGTTGATGTAGAAGAGACATGAAGAAGAGGGGACACATGTTGATGTAGAAGAGACATGAAGAAGCGGGGACACGTGTTGATGTAGAAGAGACATGAAGAAGAGGGGACACATGTTGATGTAGAAGAGACATGAAGAAGAGGGGACACTGTTGATG